AACCCTCTCCTTAATGAATGAAATGCGAATAGTTTGGCAGAAGAATCTGGGGCTATATACTTTGTTTCAGGTTATCTTATGTTGTAATACAGGAGAATGAGTCTTCTGCTCAGAAATATATATCTTATTTCAAAGTAGCCGAAATGTGGGAGCTTGTATGCTCATGGGTTCTGGTTAAGAATCCACCAAATGGAATGAAAATGCATCAGACTGGCAGTTTTCATAAAATGGCACTTGCTGAGTATGGGGGCTGGGGAGAGAACAGACATTTGGGCCCTAGGTCATGCCTAGGGCTTGATACTTCAGCATAATATTTGTCCAATTTCTCAAAAAAGGGATGCTGGGAAGCCAAGTTTGGCTATTACCTCTGCTCTGAAAATTTGCTTTTGGACCTCTGCTCATACCTCTCAGTTCCATTTCATTTCTAATCTTTTGAATACTTTGGTATCGTAAAATAATTTTTATGACAGAGCTGGGTCAGAGAATGGTGGTTAGAGTCTATATAATTTTCTCAGCCCCTCCTAATCTATCACTCTGTGTCCAAACTATAACGGCCGTTAGACGTTTGAAGCTGAGCTTGATTGCTTTTTATTATTTTAAGTAGCACAAGACAAGTATTTAACCTCTTTTTTATTGTACATGGCAATCCTGTGTATTGACTATTAAAACCACTGTGAAAACCTAGAATTTTGTAGAGAAATTACATTCTTGCAAAAGACAATCAAATGAAGGCATTTCATTGCTATGTAGTTTCTCACTAGCTGACCTATGTTAAGAGCTTGAGAAGCCATAGAATTTAGTGTAGAAAACCAAAACCAAAGAAAAATGTTGGCATATATTTGTTCAGTTGTTGTAGTCTAATTATGGAGGTTCAAGGGTAAGGATGTACACTGAATTGTATTTTAGAGACCCCTATTTACTGACTCTTGAAAGGAGTCCCCTTGTACAGTCTGCACTTAGGGGGTTTCTCTCTCTTATCACTGCAGCTGGGGAAGAGGGTGCTTTAGCTCTCTTGACCAAGAAATCAAGGGACAGAAAGAGCAAACCAGCCCCAAGAGCATTTTGTGAGCTGGATGTGGAAGTGCAGGGAAATGGTTTCAGCCAATAACAGATTCAATGTGACTGAAAATGTGTGTTAAACATATGAAGTGTAGCTCTGTGCTGATGGCAAAGTTACTACCACTAGCTGGATGGCTGAGGGAGCTTCCGCTGTGGTTAGGAAACCGTACGTGCTGGAACAAGCTGTTGAGATGACAACGGCTGATGGCTGTGGGAGACTGGAACAAGGAGTGCGCTGCTTGAAAAGTCAAGATGTTCACTGTACAGTAGCATTCAGCAAGATGGAAATATGTACATGCCCCAGACCAACTGCCAGTTTTACAGGTACAACTTAATACTCTTACAGTTACTAGAGCTGGAAACATTGCTGTCTTGGGCCCTGAACTTGTAATCTTGTAACTAATAAAAATGCAAATTTTTCAAAAGAGTAAGTTTTTAGGACTTGTAATTGCAAAGGAAAGCTTTGAAGCATTGAGTTCAAATAAACCCTGGAAGATGTTACAGTCCTTCTCTTTTGAGCACAGAAGCTGAACGCCTCACCCTGTGAAGTAGACCCAAGGACTGTACGTACTTCTAAGGTCCATGTGTTTGGAAGCTACTGAGGTACTTTAAAGGCAGTATCTACTTGGACATTGCTTTGAAAACTTAGCTACCTGAAGATCTGTTCCTACGTGGTGGCACCACAGTTGGTTGCAGTTGAGTATCTAGCACCTTTCTTCTACCTCAGACTGCTTCACGTTCTTAGAGGAGCTCTGGGTCTTCCAGGGCCCCGAGTAAATCACTTCAGGCTGGTGAGTAGTAGAAGCCCACATTTCCTGCTTCTTGAGCAACTGTCCCAACGGTGGCACTGTTGAGCGAGTAGTGGGACTACCTTCGTCTCCTCTTCCTCCTTTTCAAACACGCTAGCCACTTCTCTGTTCCCAGACATAGCTCTAACTGCAGGACTTTTCAGATTCTGAATCACCGTTCTACAGGGACCGAAAGCGACGGTTAAATACCTGTCTTTGGGAGGGAGATATTCGATACGCCTCACTGAGGTGATGCCTCTTAGCTGATTTAGGTATTCTTACCTACAGTAAGGAGAGGGTTTTGAATTCCCCTCTAGCACTCTTGAATTTCTCCAGTGATTAACAGAACACGTCCGCTTCCTATGCAGGACTGTGCACTTTACTCCTGAGAGAGATACCTTGCTTTTAAGCACTTGCTTCCTACATACCTTTTTATGTTTTTGGCATTAGCACAAGACTTCAGTAAGTCTAATTTTGCTGTCTTTGTTAATACTGCAGAAGTACTCAATATGTACTTTGATATTTCCATTTGAAACCTAGTGAAAACATTTTTCTATATTTGATCCTAAACAATGGAGTTAATTGTATGCCTAAAAAGTGTCAATCCTTTGCTGACGCTTAAACACTATGAAGTTTTACTTTAGACACGGTGGCAAAAGTTCTAGAAATGGGGATATTTTAGATTGGTACATCTAGAGATTTAGTATATAAAGAGATTAATGTAGATAGAGTTTCCTGGCTTCTTCATCCATCTTTCCTTGAGAACACATACTATTTGAAAGAGGAGTTTGGAATCTGGTTTGCCATAAATACTAATTATATTCTTCGTGTGGGTTCTTGCTTTCATAGTCAGGATAACTGTTGCTTTGTGCTTAGTGGGCCAGCTCACAGCAGTTATTGTAGAGAGTAATGAATGATGTTTATTTGTGCTGTACGGTTGACCACATCTGGGGGTGAGAACACGCTGGCAGCTAATTGGCCTGGCAAATGATCAGGCTGCTACAAAACAGGGTCTGGTGTTAGGCAGAAAAATAAAATCGCTAGGAACTGTCATCCCTTGCTCCTTACTGATGGTTTCTAGTGGAGGTGACAACCATTAGCTGGGGATGTGATACTGAGATCTACTCTATCACGTGTATTTCTTTCAATGAATGCCTCAAATCAATTTGCAGTTATTAACTCCATGTGAGTTAATCTCATCCGCAGGGATCTGTGTTGATTATTAGTTTGTAGAGTTGTGTCCATCTGCGTTTGCTCTCCTTTTTGTCCTGGAATGCTTGCATACTTGACTTGAACTGATCAGGTTAGTGAACGTTAAGGACAAATAGCCCTCCCTGGAAGTCTGTGTCGTGTTGCTTGGCATCGAGCAATTTCCCAGAAGTGGTGCTGATGCTGCTCCTAGTTAAGATCTCAGACCTTTAGATTTCTTTAAGTTTGAAGGAACTAGAATCATGAAAAATGAGGGAATTGCAGTAATTCTGTGTTGAGGGGACAGCAAAGATCACAGTTTGCATTTTTATGTCTTACTGCTCTGTAGCTTAGCTCCCTCCCACAGAGACTGAGCCTTGCAGGTACTCCCCTTCCCCGGCAGACTGCTTTGTGCCCGTGCTGGAACCTTCGCTCCAACCTTAGTAGCAAAGTGGGAAGGGTAGTAAAGGCTGGTTGTTTCTTACAAACCCAGGAGTACCTTTGAGTGGGGCAAAGCACAAGGAAAAAGGGGGGAAATAGCATCTTTTGGACCGACGACAAACCGATGGCTCCAAAAGGTTGCGAGGATGAGATTGACAGCCCACCACCGAGATACACTTCCCTGCTGTTCCCACGGCTGCTCGGTGTTGATGTTAACAAGAAGGAAGAATAAAGTTCATATCTCCTGCTAAATCATTTTGTTGACAGTGAGGTTTTAGAATAGAGAGGGCTTCAATACTATTTGAGTATCTGTGTTTAAAAGGACTGGATCAACAGGTCCAAATAACGTGGGAGATTTGTGGTATTTATTAGCCGCGTAATGGAGAATAGCTTTTGAGGGCTTTTAGTCCCTTCTAGTTTTGAAAACTGGTTTGTGGCACCTGACACAGCAAAGTACACCTGCTAAACATCAAGATTATGCTATTGATTTCTAAGCTAGGTATAGGTATGTTCCTAGTTCCCTCCCTTGTATCACTGTACATAACATCTGTCAGGACAAAATAGATCCTGTCACAAATAAACATGCGATAGTATCATTTGTTTTTCACCTGTACAAACTTTGCTTGTATCTGAATGGGTTCTCTGAAATTTACATTTTTTAAATTTTGCCTTTTCCTTCTGCTTAAAACAACTTTATCTCTACTATTTATTTATTTTCTGAAGAGTGTGTAGGTATTGTTTATTTTACCTTTTGAACACATGTTAAAAAATAGGCAAACTAAAGGACAGTTGTATTCATATTTTACTGGATGAGCTAAGAAAATGTAAATTAAATAAGCCTTTAGCTTTTTTGCCTACTCTGAGCTCTCTGTGGTGTTACTGCAGACCAGCCTTGCAAGCTTGTAAGCAATGTGTAGAAAAAGAGGTGCTCTGTTCTATTATTTGGTTGATCCTCAAAAAAACAATGAAAAAAATGTCATGTTTATGTAATCAGGAATTTGATGGCGTAAAAAGAAGGAAAAATATGCTAGCCTAAAAGCTTGCTATGGGATTACAGTTGGTTTTAGCACTTGATGGTTAAGTGTCTTTTACTGCTGTGTCTCTGAACTCTCATAACTGATAATTTAACTGCTAATTCAATTGTGTGATGATTGGTTGCCATGAACAATTCCTTGAAGAGCACTACAAATTTCTCTATTAACTGTAGTGGTTTTTACTTTCTCTATTCTTTTGTGTGTTGGCACACAATGATATATGTAATAAATATATACCAAGATGGTGTATACATAGAAAATGGTAAACAAGACATATTTGCTAGAAAACTTTTTGGGGCAGACTTTTAGATGTAGAAGGCTGTACTGATCCTCTGTTTTGCTGCTGAACTTTAACCATTATTTTCCTTTTGCCATAAGTAAAAAATGTATAATGAGCAAATTAAGATGAGATGATTTTTCTCTCTAACAGCACTATTCTATTTATAACTGTAAATCTTTTTTTTCCCCTCCTCCCTTGCATCTGTAACAGCTAGCCGATGGCGGAACCTCTTCTCTACACCTGTCTCCTTGGCTTTTCCCTATAGTCCTGTTGCGAGACTCACCCCATATACCAATGGCTTTAATAGTCCCAGCTTCTCTAAAACCTCCAGTAAAGCAATACTAACACCTGAACGGACAGGTAATGCTTATCTTTTTATTGATTTACAGTCCTTACAAAGTTGCTTAATTTAATCTAATCTTGCTAGCATTTAACAGCAATACACTGTTCAGATGACTGTATATAAACTCTGATCTCGGAGATTTTTTTTTAAATGACCTAGAATTTGGCAATTAACTAGTAGTGTAGGTTATCTTCTGTGTTTACACAGCATGTTACAGGAAGGTGATGCTAGTAAACAGAGCCTATTTCTCAATAACGTTTTACCTGAGAGTATAGTTGCAACTGCGTCAGCTTAAACAGTCCCCCGCTTTGTCGGCCCTTTACTGCTCATTTCTGCCCCACTGCGCCCCTTCCTTATGTCTACAGAAACATTCGTGCAGCTGTGTAATGAAGTTGCAGGGAGAACTTACCTACTGTAAAAATAGCCGGCAGAATCATGGCTGTTTTCAAGCTGGCATTGCTGCTACTATCCAAGATTTATTCTATGTTTGCCACTGATTTTCAGGGGACACGGGAGTTTTAGGGAAAATACAAACTTTCTATGGGCTGTAAATTGCAAGGAGTTGCATTTTTCCTTCTTCGCTACAGGTATCAGGAGTCAATTTATACCTGTGACTTCTCTTAAGGTGCAGTGGCGGTGGAGAAAATAATCTTCTGGGGAAGAGGCATTAACATTTTATTGCTGGCGGGAGCAGGTGTGGTCTAAGGAAATTAGTATCAGTGTCACACTGATCTGTGCGCAATTTTCTGTACAACACGTGAAATCAGTGCAGAAAGCCCTGTAAGGGATATAGGCGCTGTGGGTGAGATACAGCTGCAGACTGAACGCCTGGTGTAGGCGTCTGTGTGAGCGAGACGTCTAAGCTCCCCTATTCAATGGGATGTAGTTTGGTTCCTAAATGAAGGCATCTCATGCTATTTGAGATACCCTCAGGTATCTTGTCTAGCTTCCCACTGCTGCTCCAAAAGGACACAGCTGTTACTACCTCTGCAAAACCTAGAAGACCATTGTAACTTGCAAATTTGAAAAAGCAAACACGTTTACCCCTTACAATTCTTCCAAAGCAAAGTGATCCCCTGTGTGTCCTTTTCTGTCAAAGGTATTATTAGAGAACAGCTGAATTTAGGATGGATTTTAGATGGCTGTTTTGAGCAGTGCTGGAGGATGCAAACACATCTGTGATACGAGCACAGCTGATGAGCCATCGTCACAGCGGTTCTCGCCCTGCAGGCTGTGGGCCTCTGGTGGTCCAGAGGATATTAGAAAGTGATTTACTGTTTTATTTGAAGAATTTTTCTTTAAAGCTGGGCAACAACTGGCTCATGCAACTAATTGCAACTTAGTTTATATTTTGCTATCATGCAGGGAAAAGGTACAATCCAGAGCCCTCTCTGAAGGAGGCAATGCTTTCTCTGTTGTTGCATAATGCTCAGTCTTAATTATTGTTGTCATTGATTTATCTGATGATTATAAACAATTGGAAAAAAACCCCAAAACAACAGTGAAATGTAGGTAAGTGGCTCTGATATGGAATTCGAATACTGAGCAGAAGTTGGTGACACGTACACACTTGCTTTTCAGAAGAGAGTAGGGAGAACCACAGTCCCACAAGAAGGATTCAAATGCAGATGTGTTTAGACTACGCTAACTAATCTGAGCTGTATCAGAATTGTATTGGGTAAATTCTTCATTGTCTGGGCTATGTGATGCTATTTTGGGAAGAAGCGGGGGAGTTCATGATCCATTACTACACTTACTACTTCTCACGAGTACCAAAGCCCTTTGCTAATTGTTAGTGAATTGCGCTACACTTCTGAAAGTTTTTATCTGTTACACAGAAAATATTTTAAACTACTGTAACATAAAGGGCAGATAGTTGGGAATGAAAGATGGCCAGACGTATTCACAGACTAAAGGTTATGTTTTTTTACATAGGTTACATTTCTAGGAGTTCCCCTTTGAGCCCACAGTCATCAATAGACAGTGAACTGAGCACCTCGGAGCTGGAGGATGATTCCATCTCCATGGGATACAAGCTGCAGGACCTCACCGATGTTCAGATCATGGCTCGTCTACAGGAGGAGAGTAGGTGGCTTTTTTTCATTTTTCAAAATAGTCTGAGGAAGATTTCCCATAATAGTCAAAACTGCTCCAGTCTGGTCTCAATCAAGTGGATCTTTCTTAAACGGTATCGCTTCTTGAGTGGCAGGTGGAAGAACTCTTCACCTGCATGGAGAAGGTACGCACGTTGTTGGATTCAGGTTAATGGTACTGGATCTTTCAAAACTTGATGCTTCTGTATTTCTGAATCCCAACTGGTAGCTCCATACCTGTTGAGTACACTTAGATTTAGAAGATTTATAATGTCTTACCACATTAAAATAATTTTATTGGGGGGTGGGGGTGGGAAGATGCTAAAGCATTTTTTGCATGCATACATTTCATGAGAAAGGTAAAATTAAGCAGCTCTCATGGATTTATTTGCCTCTACTTTGATTTTCTTAATTGTCAGATGAATTTTGAAATTAATTCCCCTTTAAATCCTGAATTAGGGCATTTAAATTTAACATTTTGGTTTGAGACTAGCGATTAGGCACAAATCTGAGCCCAAAAGCTTATTTGACATAGATTATAGTTTGGCTTGATAGTAATTTTTGGAAAATGTCTTTATTCATAAATAAAGGGCATTTGACTTAGAAGTCACTCAAAGAGTAAGTGCAATGACTTTCTCACTTCCTATTGGTGCCAAGTGAGACATCAAGGAGGAAATGATGAGATGAAAAATTAGAGAAGTTCAGAGATGGTGACTGAAGGAAAATGCCAAGTAATAAGTGATTAAATAAAATAAAAATAAAATGTGAAGAAAAAATTAGAGCTGCAATCTGGCTGCAGCAACCAGACTGAGCAAGTCGGCGCGATCACTTGTCAGCAGTTGAACTTGCTGAGCATCTGGCAGCACTCGTGATGTTCAGCAGAGAAATTAGCAAGTGTGAGACTTTCCAAGATAGCTGAATTCTCAGCTGGCAAATGTGTGTGGTCACAGCTTGGAAAATTTCTGATACTATGTGAAAGTTACAATTATTTAAAAAAAAAAATTAAGACTATCAAAGATACAAAGGATTGCGTTACTTAAATGACAGCTGTTGTCATCTCCTTCAGAGTGAGGTTTAAGAAAGGCTTCAGGTATTTAGCTCTTTAAGGACTCAGGACATTGGTAAACTGGAAGGAAAAACACTGTTTTTCTTCTAATCTATGTTAGGTGTAATGGTTGTATCTCATCCTTGTAGTAGCAGCTGGTACAGAATGTTTGAGCACGTGACGGTTGTTGTCCACTTAATCCCGTGGAAAGTGGTAGTATTATACGCGCATATGCACGCAGGCACGCTCTCTTCACGGCCACGAATAGAAACTCCCGCTCAAGGGGCGGCCGGGGGGGAAGCATATTAAGAAGTTTCCATTACGAAGCAAAGACATCTGTCAAAGCCAAGGGCTTTTTGTAAATCTGGGAAAGTTGTTCTCCGCAGCTATTGGCAGAATTACTCGGCTCCTGGAAATATGATGTACATCCCCCTTTTCCCTGGCTGCTGTGCAGTTGGGAAATGGGGATGTACAAGGGCTGTGGATGTTTCCCTCTCACTTGACCCGGAGCAAACATGCTCTTCTGGGGCAGCGCTAATAGTGGGATGGTTTTCAAAACCTGGCGTTCTGAGAAGGGGGTGGTAGCATGTGTACCTGTCTGAAACACAGCTGTGTTACCACTAAACCTTGTCCATGAGACCGGCTGCTAGCAGGAACTAATTCTGGTTCAGGGAGATTGGAGAGCCAGAATATTTACATGGGTTTTACGTTTAGGAAGTGTCATTGTCAGCATTTTCATTGCATGAATATAAAAGTTTAATAGCAATAACTTGGAAAACTAATAGAGTGAGTGTTAATTCCTCTAATTAAGAGTACCTAAAAGTTAAATACTTAATACTCATGTAGTCTTTCTATTGCCAGAGAAATAGGTGCCTCCTGAAGGCAATTTCATGTTATGTTAAGACAGGCATCTAAGACATCTCACAGGTACTGCATTTTGGAGATGCCTGTATTCTTTTTTATTTTTTATTAAAAAGGGATCTCGAGGGAAGTAGTTCAGGCTTAGATGCCTGAAAGGTAGACCTCAGATCTTTCAACCTGTTGACATTGTAAATCCAATTCTTGCTGTAAAGTTATGTCTACTTACCTGCTTAGTTTTCAAGATTGAAGTGCACGTTAAGAGTTAATCACTTAGCAGAAGCTGAATCGTCCTCTTCTTGGAATTTACAGGCCTTAGGCAAGATTATGCTTCAACTTCAGCATCTGTGTCAAGGCACAGTTCGAGCGTCTCTCTGCACGCGGGAAAGAAAGGGACGTGCGGTGACCAGGAATACGATCGCTACAGTCTTGAGGACGAGGAAGAGTTTGACCACCTCCCACCGCCGCAGCCGCGGCTGACTCGCTGCTCCCCCTTCCAGAGAGGGATTCCTCACTCACAGACTTTCTCCAGTATCCGGGACTGCAGGAGGAGCCCTACCTCCCCGCACTTCCCTTCAAGTACTTATCAGCAGCCCTACTACTCTCCTCAAGCCCAAACTCCAGAGCAGCAACCAAATAGGATTAATGGAGGTGGGTTGCATGCTTTTCTGAGAAGCGGTCTTTTCTCTGTGCAAAGTGCCAGTGCTGTTTTAAAGATCGAGTTGTGTCAGCAGAGTGAAGTGCGTTTAGTGTATGACAGCTAGATCAGCCCGTGAATTGTAACAAGCTATTTAAGCCTGTGCAAACGATTGAGGTATGTTATTGTTAAGTAATTTGCTACAAAATGTAGTCTGAGACCTGGTCATGAAAGTTGTTGTTTTAAAGTGCTGCAAGTATGACTGCAAGTGAAGAAAGAAGAAAAAGGAAAGAGCAGCATCTTTTAGCAGGCTAATAGTTGGTTAGAAGAACTGATCGGGCTTTTGAGCTTGGCCTATGCATGTCCATACAGTAAAATACAAAATAGGGGTTTCAGATTTTCATTCCCTTTCTTATTCCTGACTTCGCTGTTAATGCAGCTATGCTGAGAATCCGCGATGAGTGCTCACGGCAGGGGTCAACACTCTGCTCCTGTTCCAGGTCTGGTAGGGCGGACTGTTAATGTAGTGGGAGATAATGTCACTCCCAGGCTATCCGGAGCCATTGCTGCTTTTTGCACTGCATTTGAGATGTATTCCAGAGTCTCTGGAAGATTTGTCTCTCGGTGCTTACTCAAGACTTAAGTTTCCCTCCGTTGTTGCTGTTACCTTCCTTTCATTCTTTATTATGATCACAGTTTTCTTCCTCGTTCTGCATCTTGCTTTCCTATTCCTTCAGTCTTTTCCCCAAGCTAATTCAAAACAGTCAGTTTTCAGTCAGGGTCTTGTTTGTAACATCACAGGTTACAGCTCGCCCTTGGGCAAGAAAATAAATGTGTTGTTCAAAGCAACACAAAGTTGCTATTTATAGAGCACTACAGGTATGCGTGTTGCTTTCCTGACAAATAAGATGTGACAGGTTGGTGTCAAAAGCACTTGCATTCAAAGTAAGGCATGGCGTGGAAGTATAATCGACAAGTGGCAGTATATAAAGAAGGCTGATGTTAACAGAGGGTAGAGCAATGTGGGTATTTGTTGGTACAGCATATGTGCCATACTAATTTCCATGTTATTTTTCTTGCCAGTGAGGTGCAAGAATGGGACAGCACTGATGGGCTTGCACAAAATGTGTTGGGGAGATAGAATGGAAAAATAAGGGGCATTTTTGATTCAGGAATGAGGGCAGGATGCGGTGCTGCGATCTTGTTGTATGGTCCCCAAATGCTTTTTCTGTGATTTTTTCGTGTTCCATGTCAGTGGAACTTAAGCACTGGATTCCCACATGAAAACCTCAGAAAGTACTTACAGGGCGCTAAAAATACTAAACTCCTAGTTTATTAACTAGAAAGTGTATAAATGTAAAAGGCCACCAATTTTACCACCTGGTTGCCTTTTTTTCTCAAGAACTTAGAGGTGTTGGATAATCTGTTTCATGTCGCTGAGAAGACGGACACACGCGACTTCAGTTACCTGTTTGCTGGAATGGCAGACAGTCCTGTAATAGCCAGTACCACTATCTTTAGAGGGGAATTATCTCTTCAGCTTCTGCACCTTCAGCCTCTGACTCACGCAGCACTGATCCACATGAGTGGCAAATACAGATGGTGAGAAACGTTTTACTTTGGCTGTGTTCTGTTGGCAGACAAGGAGTCAAGTGTTCGCTGTGTTGAGTACGTTTGAGTAATACAACATCTCATCGGCACTTCTCATCATCTTGGCAACAATTTCATGGTCTTTCAGGAACTCCTACACGTTGAAATGGAGGTGGACTGCAAAACAAGAATTTGTCTGAAGCTCAATATGATGGACAGTGTTTCCACGCTGTTACAGTTTACCGAGGCAAATGGATGTGATAGATAGAGGGGCCAAAGTGTTTTAGTTACTGCTTTCAGTATAAGTGGAAAGCATCATCCACAATTAATCAAAATTGCACATGCCGCATGCTGTGCTGCTCTCAGTCATTCCAACAGTCTTCCCAAATCTCTCTTCCTTTCTCTTCACCCAAAGAGATGACTTGTGTTCTTGTATGTGCAGTCAACAGTCTGGCCACTGGTTCATCTGATCATTCACAAAGCTCTCCATAGAAGAAGAGTAAGTGGCACATAAATGTTGAATTTTGGCACTCAGTCTGGGGTGAAAAAACAGTGTTTAGCTTTAACCCAGTGTCTCCCCAAAACTTGTGTATGCGTTTAGCTCATGTACAATTTTTTGCCTTTAGGAACAAACAGTATCAGGGGTCCTACCTGCTTTTAGTGAAGTTTGGTATGGTATGACAGTTGAGGTACTTATTCTAACTTTAACTACCTGTACTGTAACAAATATGCTGAAGGTGTGATAAACTGGGAAAACTTTAATAATTCTTTTAAAGAGTGTAATATTGGTCGCCTGATGAGGAGCACCTATGTTTAGATGCTGAGATGTAGGTGCCCACATGTGTATGAAGGGCCCGATTCAGCTGCCCACATAGAAGCGCTTAGTGCTGTATGAGGTACTCGGATGCACCCTGCTTGGCTTCACCGTCGCCGTGTGTCAATGCTTTTTAGATGCCTTATGCAACTCAGGGTCTCTCAAATGACATGAGGCATCTATGCATAGGCACTGAATTGTGCACTGGGTGTCCAGTCTCACTATAGCCAATGGTCTGCTCGTTCTCCATCCACAGGATTGCATTTTAGGTAGCAGAGAGGTTGGTGTTTCTGGCACCCTAGTAATCATCTGCCTGTGCTTGGGATGAGAATACTCTCACGGATGTTTTCCAGCTGTGTTTGAGGCCATAATTTTGAACTGACACGTTGTTCTTACCAGTGTATTTTAGCAAAGTGCTGCCCCTTGGTGTAATTTTGACACTCAGCCCTGTTTTAAATTGCTGTACATCTATTTTAAAATAAAATACCATACATCTGTTTTAAAATGCCACACCATCTAGCCCCCACTCTCAGGCCCAGGTTCTTTCTTTCACCTTAGCCCACCAGTACATTGTCTGAGTCAATGGTACCAGTCCCGTTTACTGCCAGTCTCCAACAGCTTTCTGGACTGAAAGGCTCCTGGTAAATGCTAGCATAGAGTGGCAGATGTGTGCAAATGTAAATACGGTAAGATGTGTATAAAGTGTATTTGGGGCCACCTGTAGCATAGGCTGCAGGCATACCTGTTGTTACCTCTCAAACAACATTTGCAGCCATCACCTGTAGAGTGTGTGCGTGTGTTATCTTTGCTTTCAAATGAGTGTTACTTCCAGTTCTGCCAAGAATTTACTAATAGAAAAGCTTTGCATGAAATCTGCCTTTTTTTCCTTTTTGTTTAATTACACCCTCTCCCTAAATCAGCTGAATTGTCGGTAACAATGAGTTACATCATAAAAATTCCATCTCTGAACTTTTTAAGGCATTCTGGTTTTCAGGGATTTTGTAATCAGTTAGTGCGTTAGAAATAGATCATTTAAAGAAGATCTGAGAGAGACTGTGTAATAGCTTTTGAGTATCTGTTGCAATTAGCTAAAGTGAGTGCGTCTAGTTAGCGTGTGTTTTATAATTTCACAAAGCTTTTAATACGTTGGCAATGGAAAGATTTCTGCTTATACCTCTTTCCCCTTCCTCTAATTTGAAGAAGTTCGTGGCTAACAACTTAAAATGTTGCTAACTCTATTATTATCAAGAATACTTTATATCTAGTCAATTTCATATAAGAAATATCACCACATTTAATAAAAGCAAGCTGTTTTCTACTTCATGCTGTCCATGAATGTACACGTGTTTTGGTTTTTTACTGTGACACACAACTAATCTCATTTTAACTTCTTTTAAAATATTTTTTTATTTCTGTTTGGTCACTTTATTCTTTTTTAATAGATGTTAATTTTTATGCCCTGTATTAGTTCTGACTTTCTGAAACCAGAAATAACGGAACTATAGCATTGTGAAAGCATTCAGAGTAGTTAAAATCCAGGATAGACAAGATACTGAAAAGGGGATTGATCTTCTTGTGTTCAGGTCCACTTTCAAGATCTCTAGATAAGCTTACTCAAAAACTTTTAACCTAGCACCTCTTATTTCATATGCATTTTAAAGTGCTCATTGGTATAATACCTGAAAATTGAAAACTTTGGGCAAATTATTCCAGCTAAAGAAATTTATTATAATGCAGTAAGAAGGGACAGATGAAAAATACGTCCTTCATTGAGTAGCAGTGTATGCAATCTGTTAATTTTAATTTATGTTTTCCATTACCTTCTCATGTTGATTTTTAACTTTTTAGCTTGGTTGGTACCTTCATAAACAGGCCACGGATACCATTCACTTTAAAAATGTTGCTTTTATTTTCCAGAAATCACTAGTTTTGAGTTACTTTATTGCATACGCTTCTGGGGAATAGATTTTCTCAGGCGAAATATTATGATCATCATTAGCTGTTGCAACACCCTTGCCTCATTTGCAAACTGCAAATGTTTTTCTTTTTTTTTTTTTTTCCAAGTAAACTCAAGGCAGGTATAGAAGAGCAGCATTTCAGGGGCAGTAGGTCAGTGTTTAAGTATCGGTTCAGTATAGACTAACAGTGATTTGTGTATTTGGAGATGTGGGAAAAGGTCTCTTACTGATTTACAGAGAGTTTTTCTGCTCATGACCTCCCTTGTTGAGTAAGGAAGGGAGAATTTGCTGTAGGAAATTGTTGCAGACTCTTTATTAAAGAAATGGAGAAAAAAATCTTTCTTAGTCTCCTTTGAAGTTATATGGAGAATAGTAATCATCGGGGAGAAGTCATGGAACGATAATGGAAAAATCTTTAATTTGCTGTAACTGTCTGAGGAGGGAGACATATGCCTGTGAAGCCAGAGTGAGAGGAAAGAATAATTCTAAATAAAATGGAAGTGTTCAACATTAGTAAAATGTAGGTATTGACAATAATGAAGAATGGTGTCTCTCTCTGAACTGAAAGACTTTTTTTTAGTTCTTAATCTGTATTTTTACACACTGATGTCCCTGTTGTATCAACTGACGATTCCACAGACCTGTAACTAGACCCTGGTGTGTTTGGGATGTCAGAAATGTTATAACCATAACAAATGTAATGCAGATACTGAACTCAGGTCTTCAAAGATGAGGAAGGGAAATTAATCCCTTAAAGTGAAGTTGTAATTGAGTCTACAAGTTTGTTAAGGATTTCAGAACAAACTCTGAATATTTACATAATATAGAACATAATATTTAAAATAGAAAAGCACAGATTTTTTTCCTTATGTTTTTTCCCCAACTTATTTGTTCATACAATACAGATAAAGCAGAGCTGAATTTGTAGGGTTTGTGTGAAGGATTTAAATATGTGTAAGAAACTGCTAACATAGCTGATACACGTTTCTCTGAGACACTAATAATTATGATTCATTGTATCACATTCCTTAACGATGGCGCACTTTTGGCGAGGCTTGTGAGTCCTTTTGTTCAAATAAAACATTGACAACATTTGCAGAGAATAACAATGGATGAATAAATGTGTTTTAAGATGCTTCGCTGTAGAGCCAACTTAAGCTCTCCGTGCAAGGAGAGCCTCACTGGATGAGGTGTCTTGGCAGAGAGAAGATGGTACTTAGCAAGAACCGCTACAGTCTGGCAGCTCACCAAGAGTGCACTTCTTCTGGGGCAGCTTTGCTCCAAGGGCAAGGTCTGTTTGTGTGCCTCGTGGACATTAATCTTCGGCTGGTGATAGTATTAGGTCAGGGAAGGAAAAAAAAAAAAGAAGCGGTGGAACGGGGGCGGCCACCAGTGGTGCTGGGACCAGAAGACAGAAGGCAGGTGCTGCCTGTTCCGGTGTCCTGCTAGAAAGAAGCTGGGCCACTGATGCCAGGCTGACTTCAGAGAAGAAACAACATCAGGGGAAGAACTTCTTGGAAAAAGTCAGAACTGAAGCAGCTGGGTAAGAGGCAAACTGCGGTCTTTACTGCAATTTTTTTGAATGTTTGACAAAATAAGGGACATTTTTGCCTGCTTTTTGACCCGTTTCTCACTAGTAGTGAATATGATCTGTGCTGTGGGGTGGTCTTCGTGCACATTTTCAATTGAGGGCAGAGGACTCTGTATTTCACAATTACCGGTTTTTCCTGTGCTGTAGGCAACAGGCAATTCAGCATGGATGCCACATGGGGGAAATTATTTTTCATGTATCATTCTGTTGAAGATATGTGAAACAAGGGCAACATATGCCACCTAAAGAACACTCATGAAATGACAAGCACGTGTGTATATGCATGAACTATTCTGAGAAGGTGGTAATAACCAAGAACTGATTATTAACTCCCTTGCGTGACCTATCCTTGCATTTTCTTCACGCTTTCAAGTATCTCAATAATACAATGTCTGTAGATCATGCTATTACATCTCAAAGAAGGCTGGGAAAGGCGAAGATACATCTGTGATGCTTTATATGGCTGCCTCCTACTTAAACACCGTGTTTGTTTCGGCCTAGATTATAGTTGAGGCTCAGTAGTGGGTCACAATAACTTTGGATGCTGTAGAAGGTGCAGGTCCTTTGGAGTTCCTCGCTGGTGTTAATATCCACATCTTCCTAACAGAATGAACTGTAAACAACCGATGATTTTTTTTTAGGCTTGCTACTGAACCACATTAGTGCAGAAGAGGTAGCAGAAACTGTAGCAAGTTTCAGCATTCATCATAAACAGGACTATTTGGGCAAATTACTTCTCACCTGAGAACACATCTCAGCTCCACTCCTCTCTGTTAGTTTCCTCATCAGTCTTAGGAGAGCTAAGAGCTCTAGAAAGGGAAGTTTTGCTACTAGCAGCTTGGAAAAATATTTTTGTTTTCTTCTCATCTATTTCCAGCAAGTTCGTATATAGTCATGTCTGAGCGGCCTGAAATAATACTAAAATCATGTAACTCCCACCTTCTGCTTCCATATGTCGAGCTCACAAGAGCCAGCATTTCATTTACAAACAAAATGTCTGTAAGACTCTTTCCACTCTTCTTAGGAAGGGAACAGGTGACAGAACGAACTTCAAGAACGAGATGAAAGAGGATGCATCATCCAAGGAGATGAAAGCTGCAAAATGCCATCAAGACAAACATTTCTGTGTTTTCCCCAAACACAAAACTGACCTGCTATTTTCATTGCTTTCCAGGGCCATTTATCTCAGCAGACACAAGGACCCATCAAAGAAGTAACGCAGATGCTCGATGGATGAGAATTTGCAGGTGCAGCGAATCAGCAGCAGAGCAGACTGCTGGAACGAGAAGGGACTAATGAACAGGAGGCAAAAGATGTGGCCACCCGTGATATGGAGGAAATCCAAGCTACTTCTGTACCTATTTTTCCTGCTATTGTAGCTGCATCCACTGGACAGTTCAAGGCGCAGATCATGCCTGTGGTGGCTGATGCAGTCCCTGAGTGGAAGAGCATGTAGAGTCCATGGAATTCTGCTTATACAACGTGATAATGTGGATAGTATTAGAAAAGCTATTTTATGCAGTGCCATCTTCCCTACCACCTTCCTGCTGCTCAAACCCTTTTTGCCAAGTGCTGTAATGTTGACCTAGGATTTCAGGACCTAGGATTTTAAAGGGTAGTCTAGGCCTCCAAAATTAAAAGTAGCTACAGACATCCCATATTCATGAATTTTCTGCCACTCTGGGCCAAGGATTGCATCATAGGAAGACAGTTCCCTTTCCAGTTTGCGAAATCATGAGTATTTCAGAAATAGGGACATATAGTAGCTCTATGGATGCCATTGTTTGCATCCCCAGGGCAGTTTTGGAAGCCTGATAACTGTTTTATCGTTGTTGTATCAGCGATATCTTATACTTACCACCTGACTGAACCACAGTGGTAATCCCTTTGCTAATGTTCATTGCTCTACCGCTGACGGTTTCAGCCTGCCAGTGTCAGCGATGAGTCACTGGAGCACAACAACTCTAACTCTTTGATGAAGGATTACCCTTAAACAGGTTCTTTATTAGGATTTGGCTGTACTCCAGTTTCCAGGAACTCAAACCTTGCATTTCCTTTTCCTGCACTGAACTCCTCCCTATCTTACCTCCCATACCTACTATTTGATTTCGAAAATATGAAAATGTAGTGTATTTAATTAACGGGAATAGTGAAATTATTTTCTAGACAGGAATGGTTTTCTATGTCAGACCATGTATGGTAACTGAAAGTCAACCTTAGCTGAGATAGAAGAGAAGATCTCATCATTATAGGACTAGTGTGCGTGATACAGTGTCAAAGGCAGGTAGGCACTGGTAATTGGGACTCGGGACATGAGGGTATTAGAAATGCTGGACTCTTGAAGTACAAGGATGGTTTTGACTATTTGCAGGATTCTGTACCAGTTCTTATCATGTGGACCAGTCATAAAAACCAGCTGGAGTTGTAGCCTCACTGTGGCTCAGTTTGCTGGAGTTACATAGGCATCACATGTATTGAAGTTACTGTTAATGACTACTAATACCTTGCATAGATAGAACTGTACTGTCACTTCTTATTATTCGTCAGTTGTTAGCAGCTTTAAGGATTAGAGGAGCTCATGATGGTGCTAAACAGGTTATATATTTACGTGGACTGATAAACAGAGATTCCCAAGTCAATTTGTTGTTTCTGTGGACTGAACTTGCCCTGTGTGAGCTAGGAGGTCAACCCAAAACAGCAATTCCAAGTCGTGTGTGATGTGTCGTTCATGTGCATAAGTCTAAAACATCAATCTTGAAATGCCCTGCTTGCCATTGGAGAGAGCAGTCGTAGCTGCCTGTTAGAAGACAAGCATACCCCTGCTTTCTGTTGCAGTGTAAGAACTGGAGGCAGACATCTGCCAGGTGCCGGAACCTACGGCAGGGACAGGAGCTGGTGGCCTCCATGCTGACTGCGGTACCAGGAGAAACATAGCCACCTCAGCAGGGTACAGCACTTGTGCTCCTGAACCTGGCCAAGAGGTCAGCATTAGTGGTGTTGTCAATGACAATTTAACGAATGACCCGTTATTTCCCCACAGCAGTGCTCTGCTAGTCTGTCACGTCACAGGAGGCAGTTCAGACCAGGTCATTCGGTGTGTGCCTTTCTGCCCTCACCAGTCTCTTCTGATGATACAGAACTGAGTCATCTTCCTTTGGCCCCGCGGCAGAAGAGACCAAAAGAGCTTCACCTTAGAATACCTAATGCTGTTGTGGTTGGGAAGTCTTCTTGAGATGTCAGATTTGGTTTTGGCTCCTCTCTCCAAATCAACTTGTGTGAGTGGGGTTGCAGACATCTTCTGACCTCTTCGACACTTGCCTTAGCTGTTGAACCTACCCCAAAAACATCTGGGGCTTTTGCAGCTTTCTTCTTGTGAAAGGCCCTACAGGCCTGTTCTGAAAATGCCCACCAAATCAGGCACCGCGAGTAGGGTAGGAGGGAGAACCACCAGATTTGAAAATCCTGATGTCAACCCAGGGCTCCAAGCAACTGAACAGCATCAAGACTTAGCAGGTTTTGCACATGGCCACCTGCAGAAGCTTAACATGCTAATAAGGTTTGGTACTGAATGGAATTTTTTAGCATCTCATTGGCACCTGAAAGCAAGACTTCAGTCACATAGGATGGATTAATCTCACCCGTCTTTAGACATCCACAGGGTAGATACCTCTGTCTGACTTTGTCACTGCAGCCTTGCTTTGTATTCACTGCAAAGAAACAGGCACATGTAGGGCATGATTCGTCTGACCTACTTTACACATTTATGTGAAACTCATCCTTATTATGACACTTCAGTGTTTAAATCCTTGTGATTCCGAAAATGTACTGCCTATTGGTGTCTTTAAAATGATTTGTGAATAACTGTGCTGTTACAGTAGTCAGAAGGGTTCAATTAGTAGGCTGTCAATAATGTGTTCTTCCTGCAGAGCAAAACCTTTCTTTGTGTTAAAGTAATTTGTTTTAATTTTTATTTTCTACAGAAATTATTCAGATGCTGCTTGTATTTGTTGGAAATTCTGACGTGACTATGGATGTTGTCTTCTTTTGCTTCAGATAAACTTCGAAGAAGCATGCCTAACCTTGCTCGGATGCCAAGTACCCCCACCATTAACAGTAGTGCTGGCTTTGCTAGTTCTCCAGTCACTGTGAGGAACAGTCAGAGCTTTGACTCCAGTTTGCATGGAGCGAGTAATGGGATTTCAAGGATGCAGTCGTGTAGTAAGTACCTGTGTTCTTTGGCTACGTGCAAGGAATTGGTAAATAAGGAAAAAAGTGGTAAAATACCTGTCCCAGCCACTGATCCTCTGCTTTATGAAAAATTAAAAGCAGACTGTGTTCCTTTTGCACCACATTTTAACATAGCTCAGGATTTTCAAACTTTCTATTTTGGAAAGCAAATTCTGCCGATCTTGTTATGCAGTATTGAGAGTTTCATCACCTCCCTTTTTTTTTCCACTTTGCCCATTCATTTTGTGCCAACTTTAAAACTAAAATTATAATAATAATTAGTAGTAGTAGTATTGTAGAAGCACCCTTAATGCAATTAATTCATATAAGCTTACATTTTTAGTTTTGATACTGGAATTGAAAACTGCTTTTCTTGGTAATTTATACAATGCTGGTTTTACAGTACACTGTATAAATACTATCTTAAAATACATGACCTCTCTCCTACTGAAGTTGAGCCACTTTCTTCCGAGCAAATGTGGTAAACAGAGGGTTATATCCTCAAGTATAATATACTTGTTGAGTGGGGGAATTAAAATGACTCTGTAATTAGTTTAATTTAGGTGACTTCTTGATAGGGGGGTGAAGGGAGTATTGATCTAATGGATGTTGAATTATTAATGTAGAACGTGAACAAGATAGATCAAGATCCAAACCCATTGTATCTAGCACAGTGGTTGAGAGGAACTCTGAGAGGAAATGGAAAAAGTGGATTTCGTTGGGCACAGGCAGGAGGAAGGATTTAATTTATGCCTTCCATGTCCTGTGAGGTTTTGGAGGGAGAAGTTGGCAAAACCTTTTCCGGTGGGTGTTTTCTTTCAAATCTGAGTAGAATTTACAAATCATAGAATCATAGAATGGTTTGGATTGGAAGGGACCTTAAAGATCATCTAGTTCCACCCCCCCTGCCATGGGCAGGGACCCCTTCCACTAGACCAGGTTGCTCAAAGCCCCATCCAACCCGGCCTTGAACACTTCCAGGGATGGGGCATCCACAACTTCTCTGGGCAACCTGTTCCAGTGCCTCACCACCCTCATAGTGAAGAATTTCTTCCTTATATCTAGTCTAAATCTACCCTCTTTCAGTTTAAAGCCATTACCCCTTGTCCTATCACTACATGCCCTTGTAAAAAGTCCCTCTCCAGCTTTCTTGTAGGCCCCCTTCAGGTACTGGAAGGCTCAAAACTATTAAATTGCATCTTTTCTGGAAAATACACTTGATAGCTGGATTTATTTTGTTTTATTTTTATCCTGTTTGTGATAGGAGAATAGGAAGATAGACAATAGGAGAACGGAAGTAGTTGTTCAGGTTCCCACTTGATTTGCATGGTAGTGTGTTGAGAGTTTAATTTTGTTTACTATTTTAGAAATATATATTTCTCTGTATGTTTATGTATGTATATATATGGGTATGTATAAAATGTGATTTTTCTGAAATAATTTTTTGAAAAACATTTCTAATAAGTGGCTGTGCTGGAATATTTAAGGCGCTGTATTATGATAAGACTTCCATAGCAATATATTGCCAGTATTGTTTAATTGAATCACATGTCTGTATTTTCTCCTGTGTCTTTAAATGATTTTAAGATGTCCTTTTTCAAAGACTTGAAAAAGGATTGGCCTGTATGCGGTATGTTAGTTCATGTGCTTCAGGCTTTTGACAGTTTGCTTTTGGTATGTGGACTCTGAAACAGATGCATGTCTGATATACACCAGAGGGCAGGATTGTGTAGAAAATCTATATATAAAGCTTCTGGAACCCATAGCATTGATTTAAAATGGTAGTTTACATAACATGAGCCTTGGCATATGCTGTTATATTCAAGACCTTTTTATAGCCTTTTTATTGTATTTATACATGAAGCTTAGACTTCTGTGATGTTTTATAATGCTTTAATGCAATGTTCCTTAAACAAGATGTGGTTATTGCAAACAACCTTACAAAAATCTAAATGATCTAACAGTAATTAATTTATACCTTCACCAATTTCTCCTGTTCAAAGCTCTAATTGCATAGGTGGAGTTAGTGTGCTTGTAATAGCTAAGAAAACCTCTCTGATGGGAGAAAGCAGGATGAATATGGGGTGGGATTTTTGTCCAGGATGGGGATGGAACAGGATATTCTAGTTCAGTGCAGTGTTACTCGATACAGTATTGGATCCAAGGAGTTTTTCAGCAGTTTATAATTAGCAAGTAAATTGTATAATGATGTGTTTATCCCTATTCAGATCTATCTAGAAATGAGCATTACTGCCTGGCCTCATCTCTTGCATACTGACCTTGTTACTTCCTTTTCTACTACTCTTTACAGTTCCATCACCAGGACAGCTTCAACAAAGAGTTCACAGTGTGGGACATTTTCCAGTGTCTGTCAGACAGCCTCTCAAAGCTACTGCCTACGTAAGCCCCACTGTACAAGGTGGTAGTAGCAGTAGCAGCAGTATTCCAGTGTCCAACAACTTGCAGTTATATTCTAACACTGGGATCCCAATGCCAAACAAGACTGCCAGTCAAGGGGTCGTAGGGCGCAGTGCTCTTCCAAGACCATCGCTGGCCATCAATGGGAGTGGCATACCCAGAAGTAAAATTGCACAGCCAGTTCGAAGGTAAGAGTTAAACAGGCTGCCTTCCCTATGTGGATGGCTTTGGCTTAGATTGTGGGTTTTTTTTTTCCTCCTGAATATGAAGCTGGGCTATAAAACAGGAGAGTTTCTAGCTTCCAATGCTGAGTCACTGAATGCATATATTTACTGAGGGAGCTGGGGGAGGAGCTTGCC